TCATATAAAGGCAGTTAAATAGAATTAATATAGTATCTGATACTGTAACCAATTATATGCTATTTCTTATAAGAAGCCTGTTCATATACCAATTTGATAAGCATTGAGATTATGATTTTCTCTTAAAATATCATGGTATAATAATTATCCGGTTGATATATAATAATCATTATAAAGTTGCTTTATATATAAATTGTATAGGTTTCCTTATATATATCATATTCAATAAGCCTTGTCTCAACTCCCTTTAGGATTTCCTAGTTTGAAGCTATTCCAATCTGGTACTTGCTTAAAAGTAGTTAATCTCTAGGAAGAATTTATCAAAGCTACAGATGGTGATAAAAAGCAAGTATCCTCTCCGAGGGTCCAAACAAAAAATATTAAGATATCCAAAAATCTGATGATCAAACCTCTGTGGGATAGACATAGCTCTTAGTAAAATAGATTATAGATTAGGTGGTTTAAACTAGTGGTAAATATTCCCTCTCTATAGAAATCCATCTGATGTGTTGGATTCACCTTTGATATATAATTTTTATAGTTGAATTTAAGATGGACGGTAAGCTATTATCCAGATAGAGCAATATTAGTTATAATTAGAATTGTCATCAGATACAATTGATATATATAGCAATTGTTTCAATTGTAAAAGACACTTAATGTATTTCTAATTATGCAAGTATCAATAAAGATCTATATTATTGTGCATTTATCTATAAAAAAAAAATAAATAAATAAAATTTCTAAATTTTTAAATATTTTTTATTTGATTCTATTAAATTTAGCTGTTTTTAGGCTCCAAAAAATATAAAACCAGTACCAAAGTGATATTGAAATAGTACCAATATATAGTAAATTTAATATATGGGTTGTGACCTACTCATATAAATTTATAGTAAATTTAAGTATCAAACTGATATCGAACAGATATTGAAGTGATACCATTAGAAGCCCTAGTTGTTTTATTATTTGATATGTTTTTGCAAGTCTCTTTTAATTTATTTTCTGATATAATATTTTTTATATTATTATAATATTTTTTATTTATCTTAATTTAAGTTTATATTGTATTTTTTTAAAAAAATATCTTTTTACTGATTCCTTTGCCAATCCAAAAAACAGATATTCTTAAAAATATTCTTTATTTTTAATAATAAAGTCTATATATTTTTCTTAATATCTTACTTTCTAAAGACTAATGCTTCTCCCACTTATCTATTTTTTTTTCTTTAAAAAATATTATATATTCCAATAACAAAGTAAACAAAATCTTACTTATTTGGTTTATAGCAAGAATATTTTTTTAGAAAAAAGAAACCTATTAAAAAATACCCTTATTATACTTTCTTTAGGTCTAAAACTTAAAAAGTGAATCACTAATAAATATATTTTTCAAGTTCTATAAAAATTTTGAGTTTACTATAAACAAACACCTAATATTTGAAGCAGGTAGATAAGCTATCAATAAATACATTTTCCAAGTTATATAATAATCTTGGATTCATTATAAGTAAAAACTTCTGTTGTTTAAAGTAAATGAATAAGTTAATAGGAGCTTATTTGTTTAAGTATATGATCCTTTTTCATTAATCATATATATTTGTAGTAATACTCTCAAGTATATCAAAAATTTTTTGATTTTTTTGAGAAATATTTATTTTAGTTTGACTTTGAATTTTTTATTATACTAGAAATTCTAATTAATGATTAATTGAAATCTTGAATTGGTTGATCAATATATAAAAGAAATATAAACAAGACATATATTCACATATGTTTCATGTTATATTACATTACAATTAATGATACAATTGGATAAAGTAAAAAAGCAAGATGTCAAGATATTTCTCTTAATAAGAAGTAGCTTGAAGTTTTTCCTTTCTCCTTTTGTACTGGTTTCTTTTTTTCTTTAAAATCAAAGAAGGTTCTTATTAAACTGGTGATTGATTTAGATAGGTTTTTATTTTACCAATATAAACTTTTTTTTTTCTTCTTTATTTTTTTTTTTTATCTTCTCAAAAAAATAAAAATTTTTATATCTTAGAATCACAAAAATTAAGTTGAGGTAATAGTTTTGATAAAGGGTTAGCTATGATATTTTAAATAGACAAAAAATATTTTTTTTAAAATAAGCAACTTTTTTATTTTTTTAAATTATATCTAGAGACCTTATTGACTGTTAATAGGTGTGTTATATAGAATTAATAAGTTTTACCATTAGTATATATATTCACATCCCATATAATATTCATATTAGGATTACTTATTTTAAAAGTTTGAAATAAATAAACATAAGTGGTATATAGCTTGATTAGGTATAAAAAAAAAATTTAAGTTTATATTGTTTTTTTATTTATTATCTAATAGTTTAAAATTAATATTTTATTTTTTGAATGCTTTTTTATAATATACTTCTATTTGATACTAAAAATTTTTTTATTATTGATATATATTCTTTATTTTTAAATTATCTTAAATATAAATTCAATTTATAACTATTTTATTATAAAAGTTGTTTATTAATTCTTATACTATTTTCTTTTAATTTTTTTTGAAATTTATATATTTTTTTTGAAATTATTTTTTGATTTCAGGTTTGTTTTGTTTTTTTTTCATTTAAACATATTTTTTTTAATATATTTGTTGTTTTTTAAATTATAATATAAGAAAAGTCTTATTTCTTTTAAAAATAACAGAGTTGTTTAATTTATTTTTAATTTAATAAAGTTTTTCTTTCTTGATTATAAACAATATCTTTTTTATAATATTTTTTAACATTAAATATTACATGTAGCTATGATTTATTTATATAAATTTATATTAAAATTAAATATTGAATTGATATTAAACTAATATTGAAGTAATATTATTAGAAGATTACTTGAATTTTATTTATTGAAATAATTTTTTTAATAATAATTAAAATAAATAATGATCTTTTTTTTTTATATCATTTTTTTATATAAACTTATAATGTTTTTTTTTATAGTTTTTATAAAAAAAACAATATAATTTGAATTTATAACATATAATTAAAAGTAATTTTTAAATTATATTCTATTAAAAGTCCTGAAATCTTATTTTTAATAAAACAATATATCATTTTTATAAATTATTTCTGGAGACCTTTGACTATTAACAAGTGAGCTAGATTAAAAAATTTATATGTTGTATTTGTTTTTATATTTGTAATAATTCTATAAATTTCATAATAGGCTACAATTAATTTACATATATAAAGATTGTTAATGTAATGACAGTAAACATTTGTTATTATTTGTAATAAAAAAAAAAATCAATAATTCTATAAATTAATAAATAAATAAATTCAGTCTGATTACATATTAAAAAAAATTTTAAATATTAACAAATTTATTATTTATTATGCAGTTAATAATACAATTAGTAACTAATTACTATTTATTTGATTATTGAAGTTTTAGTTTTATATATTAAATTTTTTAATAAGATCAAATTATTTTGTTATATAAAGTTTTAAAAAAAATTATCAAAATGTTAATTAAATGAAATCAAATTAATTAAAAAAACCAAAAAAAAAAATTTAACTTATTTTTCCAAAAAGGTTACTTTACTAATTTAACATTTATTTATAAATAAGTAATGTTAATATTTTAAGTAAATATCAATAACAAAAGTTTTATTTGCTTATGATAAAATAATTGTACAAGCCAATCTATAAAAAAATTTTCCTAGATCTTAAAAAGTGAACATGCAAATCCTTATTGGCTTGAAAACCAATCTATATTAATTAACTGCAGTACCTTCATATGCTAAAGTATTAATTCTTCAGATAATTATTCTTGGCTTTGGCAGGACCTTTGTAAGATTGATATGCACATAAAATTAATTCCCCATATCGTCAATATAAAATAATAACGAATTTTTTGTCTTCCTGCATGCTAACATTTATTTTTTCGGAAAGTTCTAGCATCGAATTAATGATTTACGCGGATTAAACTGATGTCCCTTGATTATTTGAATCATAATAACGTAATTTTCTCAAGATTTCTCAACAAACGAACAGTAGACCACTCTATATCATATAAAAGGTGAATCAATTAGTAACCTCTTTTATCATTCTTGTTCAAATATAAGCACAAATAATGTGAAATAATAAAATATAACAAACTTGCAATAATACATCGTTAATACATTCCGCGAATTAATAAGGTTGGACAATTTATCGCTCGGCTATATATCACATTTGATCTATGCCAAAAAAATCTCTGATCGCCGTTACGGATATCAGACGAAAAACCCTAGATACTTAGTACAGCGTCAATTTCTTTAAAATATAATGCTTCTGAAAATGAGAAGTGTGAATCGGTAACATTACATTGCCTTTTACCTTGCTAATCTCCCTGTAGATTCGAAATTATGTATGTAGAGCGTTGGAATTATGTAAGTTGTAGTCTATTAAGCAGTTCGCAATCATGAAATAATTATGAGTAATTGTGAGTCGGTTTACATTTCATAATTTAAGATCGTTATATCGAACTTAATGAATTCAGAGCACAAATCAAAAAAGTAGTATACCGGGTATAGTCCATCGGTCTAGACTGTAAGTAGCATAATGATTCACTCTTTGTTACAGGAAATCATATAACCTCAGCATACATCTATTGTATAATGACTTAGATCCGGACTGTAACTAGCATAACGCATCATTCCTTGTTACAGAAAAGTATGATATAAAGCCTTAGAGATCTCAATTACATAGATCATAGATCCAATCACAGATCTAGACTGTAACTAGCATGACGCCTTCAGAGATGAAGCATAACACCTCATTCCTTCTCCTTGTTACAGAAAAGCATAATGCTTCAACGTAAATCCATGGTATAAAAACCTTCGAAATCTCAATCACATAGATCACAGATCTAGACTGTAACTAGCATGCCGCCTTCAGAGATGAAGCATAACGCCTCATTCATTCTCCTTGTTACAGAAAAACATAATGCTTCACATAGATCAAAGATCTAGACTGTAACTAGCATGCCGCCTTCAGAGATGAAGCATAACGCCTCATTCCTTCTCCTTGTTACAGAAAAGCATAATGCTTCAACATAGATCCATGGTATAAAGGCCTTCGAAATCTCAATCATATAGATCACAGATCTAGACTGTAACTAGCATGCCGCCTTCAGAGATGAAGCATAACGCCTCATTCCTTCTCCTTGTTACAGAAAAACATAATGCTTCACATAGATCAAAGATCTAGACTGTAACTAGCATGCCGCCTTCAGAG